AAAAGACAAACCAGTCCCCCAAAGTTCCGTACTGTGTAATTTCACTTAGACTCGTGAGATGACGAGTTTAAGGAAACGGAATAGTTCAGTGATTGACAGTGAGGAAGGTGCTGCAGGAGGGAGGAAAGCAGGCACCAGAGAGTCCTTGTGGTGATGGGGATGCTTTTTCCCTGGTTGCCAATATACAGGCTGTGGCAATGAACTTGCAAGATGCAACCATGGTGGAAGTGGGGGGGGGGGATAAAGGTCTGTCTTGCTTGCAGTGGTTTACAAACCTATAATGACTTCTGTTGTTTAGTCTTTGGCACAGTGGCTTCGCCTTAATCTACTGTTATTTCAGCCAGCAATTGCAACACCACAGTTACTGGGCTGCTTCTTGGGTAGTGACCTGGTGCTCAGGCTGCAGCCTGGCAGGAAATGTGTTGCCGTAAGCACCGGCTCTGGTACTGCCACTAAAGGTATCTTTAACTAAATCTCTATTGTTCTGTTTATAAACAGGGCTTGAGACTCAAAGGCTGGGGTGAACACCTGCTATCTCAGAGAGGTTGAATAGCAACTAGTGAACCTTCTCTCCTTGCTGGCATCTCCCCAGAAGTCCATCTTTCTGTTCTGCCAAAACAACAACAACAACAAAAAAAATCACTCCCTTCTACTTCCTGTGTCTTTATATCTCTTCTAGATGCTCTCTGATTATTGTATGTCAGCTAGTTGCTAATGCAGCCTAGTGACTCAAGGTTAATTTTACTTAATTAATGCAACTGCAAACTCAGGGTTCACACTGTGATCGAATATCTTCCAATATTTCCCCCTTTTGTCTGATTAAAAGGAAAATTTTTAACTCTAAAACAGTAAAACTACATATAATAAGAGCAATTATCAAGTAAGGATTACATTCAAATGTCCAATGCGAATTCAGAGAAACTACTTTATTATCTATCCTATCGTGGTGAGCCCTAAGTTTGGTACCTAATTCACTTTCTATCCTGACTTGTCTTACCAGCCCAAAACTATCTTTTTATACCTCAAAACATTGTCTTAGATAAACAATTTAAGCTTTTTATGTCTCTCAGCATTATATGTTTTGTACCTCTTTTGTGAGTTTCTTTTCTGAATTTGGTAATGAAAAAAACTGTAACTATAACTGTCTCATCTTCAACTCCATCAGAGACCTGAGAAGGATATAATATTACCTAAGAAAATAGGAAGTTCAGAGCAAACATCTTCCAAAGCTGTAGAAATGATAGAAGAAGCTGGCTGCCTAGACAGTCACCCAAGATTCCTCTGTAATGCTGGAGCATCCATCTTTGGCCTACATGCCTAGAATACCTGATAGTCTTTTCTGTGAAGCAGGAATTTTGAATGACTTCCTACCATGTCTTGGCAAAGTTCTGCAGTAGCCTTATTTTCTGTCTTGCCTCTCTATTTGGACAGCATAATGCCAGAAGTTGAGGCAAAGGCAGTTTCTTGCCTAGTGGCAACTTTGCCACAATAAAAGCAAACTCCGTATGGAGGTTTTTTGGATGCCTACAATCCTTTTTTTGAAGTAAATTTGTATTTCCAGAAACAGATATGTCTCACTATCATGAAAAGCCATATGTTATTAAAACATCTTAAATGCCATGTTCTATAGGTCTCTGAAGTGTTTGAAGACCACATATATGTCTAAAATATACCCCTATTTAACTTTAAAAATATTCCTAACATGACTATAGATGTTATATAGTCATATATATATATATATAAGTTATAGATGACTAACTACTAACCTGAATTTCTTAATTATACATTACATTTTTAAATAAGCAGAGATGAAAAATAACCTTAAATTTGTATCAATATACAAAATCCATACCAATGTAAAATATTTGAGATTAGTAGTTGCTTTTTAGTTTAAAGTCAACTCAATAATCTACCTTTTATCCTATCCTCTCCCGACTTCCAAATAAAGAGTAATTTGTAGTATGTTTTTACATAAATAGCTAAGGGCAAAGAGCCAAGACCTTCTTGAAGAACATGAAGAAATATAGGCAGCCGGGGGTAGCTAGCTACAGGCTCTGACAAAGGTCTTTGGGATAAAGACAACATGCTTTAGGCTTGACCCCACAATGTAGCTCCTCTATGGAGAGCTTTATAATCTTTTCACAGGTGTACCAGGAAACAGGAGGAGAGCAATCCTGTCTGCACCATTTGCAAAGCAGAAAGAAGGCTCGGTGTGTTTTCCAAGGTTAATTTTCTGGCTCTGCTAAGGTACTGCAGTTATGTAAGATGTTATCGTGGGACTGTTAGATGAAGAGACACAGAAACTTCCTGTACTATTTTTTGAGACTTCTATGTTAGTCTAAAATTATTTAAAGCTTTAAAAACTGGACACATTTAACTGAAAATGGTTTCAGAATTGGGGCAGACAGTGGAATACTAAATAGTCATGGGAACAACAGGATCTCTGCTCTATGCATTGACAGGAGTCCTGGGAACATAATGAAAAGGAAAAGTGCAAGTCATGAGACAGAGTTTGAAACATGAACTCAAAAGATCAAAAGAAATGGAAGTGTTGAGAGGCACCTCTAAACAAACTACAGTGGGGAGAAAAGCCACAGTTAGGGGGTTCTGAGCTGAGGAAGGAAGAAAGGGGGGAAACCCCAGGGGCATCAGAAATATTAGGAGGCAGGAATGTGTTCATAGTGGTGATGGTTTCTTTCTATGTTCCTCGTCCCTCAACAAATGGTCCACAAAGATGTTATGTAGAAGAAACTCTTTCCAGTGGGGTTGCCATGTCAAGGCAATAGTGGTTATTTTTTCCATCATATGGGAAACGCAAGGTATCCCAGGAAAGAATACCCCTAAGAGACAAAGGGTTGAAAATGTAGGAGAGAGATTTGGAACAGAGCAGACTCTTAGTATCTGAAGCTAAGATTTCCACATCATGAAGACCACATTGTGTGAACTGAGTCCTGCCTGAGCTACAGGAGCCAACCCAGCTTTTGCCATCTGAACTAGATGAATCGTTGTTGGAAGAATCCTGCAATATATGCTGGTCCATGGTTACCCCAGTTGGACTTGGTGCCAAGCCTTATGCCTGACCCAGATGCTCAGAGGTGCCCAGGGGTTCTCTGCCCCATTCATCCCTCCCAAATGCCCATCCTACTTGTGTGTGAAGGACTAGACATTCAGAGAGAAGGTATGGGGTAAATGATCAGGAAAGAGTGAGCAGGGCTGAGCTAGCCTTACCCCAAAGACCATGCTTTCTCTGTCATACCTTAACTTGCTTTCTCTTACTCCAATGATGCCTTCTGGCCAGCATGAGAGGGTGTGTTGAGGTAGTACCAACAAGGAAGTATGGGTTGGCAGATGTGACCTCCTTAGATGCCTTGACCTCCACTTTCTTTTAATTTATGAGTTAAAAGAGAGGACAGAGAGGACTGTGGTTAGGAGTATTTAGTAGGGATGCCTAACCTCCTGATACTGAGACACGATATTGTCATCTACAAACTTCACACTGGGGAACCAGAAAACGGAATCAGCAACAACAAACTGCAAAAAGTAAAAGAAAACCCACCCCAATCTCTCACAATGTTTTATGCATGATTACAGTATTGTGCTGGGCAGCATTCACATGTGGCGTGTGAACAGCAGGTTGGACATACCTACCAGAACTTTCTTCAGCCCTTGCTTGGTGATCCTGAGGGCAGAAGTTGGGTGCAACTTGGGAGAGTTACCCCGTCTAGTGCCAAACACAGCGTGTCTATATCCCAGGGGCATGACCTCCAGACCCAGGGGCCTCCAAACCAAAGAAGGTGGTGAAAATCGAACAGTTACAATGACTTACGTTCTAGACGTTAGTTTGAGCTTCCAGCCACTACTGCTGAAGCTCTAAGTGAGATCCTTGGAACTCCGGGTAGAGCCTCAAGTGGCTGCTTTCATGTGAGGGTTTAATAAGTGGTGGGTGACTCTAGTGGGTACACTCTGAGTAAATGCACAAATTGACTACAGGTATGGGGTCCATTTCACTCCTGGCTCTCTTAGTGTGACACACACCACACATTCCAAACGTTCCCAAATAAGCATCCCCTAAGTGGCCAGAGGTCAAGGCCAGTGGGCAGCAAGACAGAAGGGGGGGGCAGGCTTCGTAAGGCCTCTATTAACTGCATGCTTTAGACTGGGCTGTCCTGCGAGTGCATCTAGTCCTACTCTGGAGCCTGCCCTTTGCTATCACCCTGCTGTGTGTGCCCAGCAAGCGGAGAATAGGAGGAGCTCATTATACAAACTAACCTAAATAGCAGGGTGGAAGAGTGTAGTAAAACTGTTGGTCTCGGTGTCAAAAAAGGCCGGGCACTGTCCTGGAGTTAGTGGAGCTGGCTTCCACCAAAGCAGATTAGGATTCAAACCAGTGGGTTTGTTGTAGGCACGCCCTATAAGGGCATCTTCTCTCCCACTGGCCAGATCTGCTGAGAACAACCACAGCGCCCTCCCCATAAAGAGTCTGGGTCTAGATGGGAGGGCGAGCTAGAGGCCACAAGGGGCGACAGAGGAGCCCCACCCCCAGTCTGCACCAGGTATCCTCACATCTTTCTATTGGCCACTACACCACGCACTGGCCCTTTCCCACCTCCCCAGCCTGTCCGACCACTGCTCTGCGCATCTGTGTGTGAGACAGAGGAAGGGCCCCGCATTAGGTGTCAAAGACCAGAAGCAAATGTCCCCCTGGTCACGTACTGCCCCCCCCCCAGGAGGGTGGGTAGAAACTGAAGTAGCCGAGACCAGCGAGCCGCTCCTAGGGGGTAGACTCAAGGCGAGGTGGCTCTCTCGGGCGGGTTGCACGGAGTGGTGGGGGAGGCTGGCGCACGCCCCCCCCCCACAAGCCCCGCAAGCCCACGAGCCCCGCATGACATCAGAGGCAGGGGAGCTCACAGAGCGCAGGCGCGGGCGGAGCAGGCGGGCGGGAGGGGGCGCGTGGCGCTGCTCGGTAGAGCGCTCCTCCGCCCAGCTCGGTCCCTGCGCCCCGCTCCACCCGTGCCTGGCTGCCCGCGCCGAGCCTCGGGCGTCCACAGCGCGACTGTCGCCCGTGCAGCCAGCGCCGCCCTCGGCTGCGCCGCGCACCCTGCCTCCTCCCTTTCTGCCGTCGCCGCCGTCGGACACGCAGCCGCAGGCCGGGGCCGGGCCGCAGCTGGGGAGTCAGGGGCGCGCGCAGCCAACCCTTCCCCCTCCGGCTCCCGCACCGCCCGCCGCCTCCCCTCGCCCTCCTACTCTCCCCTCCCTGCTCCTTCGCCGCTTCCTCCTCCTCCTCCTCTCCGGGCCCCAGCTGCCAGCACCATGTCCGCAGGGGGAGATTTTGGGAACCCGCTGCGAAAATTCAAGTTGGTGTTCCTGGGGGAGCAGAGCGGTGAGTACTCGGTTTGTTCTCTCGGCTCGGAGCCGAGTCTTTTCCCCACGCCGCCCATTCAGCCACCCCACTGGGGACCCTCCCAGCTCGGTTCGCCAAGGCCCTTCCACGCCCGAGCGGAGGAGGGAAGGGATGCTGATGGGGAAATGGGGCCGGCTCGGGTGGGGTCGGGCTGGAGAGAACCCGGGGTAAAGGATGGAGGCGACTCCGGGGTCAGGGGATGAGGGTGAGGATGGGATCTGGGTAGGGGTACCCTGTGCAGGTGCGTCCGGGAGGACCGAGGGCGGCGGCTGGCTCGGTGGCTCTAGCGCCGGGCTCGCGGGCTCGCTGAGTAGCTCGCACTGCGGCACCGGCTGCAGAGCACGGTGCAGGTGTCTGGGTGTGGGCGAGGGGACAGGAGCCTCTCTTGAGAGAACGAGGTGGTGCTGGGGGCTAGTTGCCACCACCCCATAAGATTGAGCCGAGGGGTTCCCTGTGGACCCTACCCGGAACCAAGGGAAAGGACGTGCCTAACCCTGGAGCAGATGGCCGCCGAGGAATAGGGGACACGACACGACACCTGTCCCTTTTCTAAAAGAGTGGGTGCACTTGGTAGGAGAACAGAGCACTTAGCTCTCCTGGCTTACATTTAACTGGGCAGAAGGTTCTAGACCCACTGTCCTTCGCTAATGCATTAGCCTCTTTGGGGCTCAGGGGTGTGGACCATGAGAGTGAAGATTCTTTCCATAGCAGGTGACTTGGGGGATGGTACAGAGGCATCTCATATCAAGGAGCTTGGCACTGGGCAGAGAAAGGCCTAAGCGACACGCCCTGCCTGGCTTCCCTGCCCCCTCCAGAGAGCATCAGCGAAGCCGGTGGATTCACCCACCCCCATCTCCCAGCTCACCGCCCTTCTTGGGGGAGGGGAGGTCACCGTGACAGACAGCCAGAGCCCAAGGAGGGAGAGGCTGAGGGTTTCTTTGCTGCCCAGGAGCCTCCCCACCCCAAGTATCTGAAACCCAGGTTGGTCCAAGGTGGAAAGCCCAGATTGGAGAGCAGCGACCCCTCTGATACCTGTAAGAAGGTGTGGCTCCATGAGAGCCTCGATCGAGGAGCCTCATCACCAGGGGGTTACAGAGACAAACTGGGCTCTGAGCATTTCTGCTGGAGAAGGGGATCCCCAGGGGGGGGGACGGGATCTCCGGCTCTAGCTCTGTAAACCAGTCCTGTTAGCTGGTTTGGAGGCCAGGAGAAGGAAGGCTGTGGGAGGACCTGGTGGGCTCAGGCACAGCACAGCTATGACGTGTGCGCGTGGGCTGTGGGGGTCACATGGCCACCTTCTGTCTGTTGATGCTCCATACCTGAGAAGGAGGGTTGGTATCAGGGTGAGGTGGTTGCCTGTCTGAGAGCTGGGTTTAGGACATTTCAGGTCCAGACCAGCCCAGCTGGGTAGTCAGCTGGATCTGATTGCCAGACCTTTGTAGAGCCTAGTGTCACAGAGGACACCTCTGTCCCCTGCTGTGTGGAAAGGATTTGGGTGCACCTCAGCCCTAGGAGGGAACCTGCTGGTGAACAGCAGCCTAATTTGAGGCCTCTGGGACACTCAGTTTCTGTCTCTGAAAAGTCTAGTGCCTGGACTGTGCTAGAGTCTCAGAGAATATTTGTTTATCCCGAGTCTGAACACAGCTCCATAAAGAATCATATGTGGTGGGTTTGAATGAAGATTCTGGGCTTCCTTAGAAGCAATGCTGATGAGCAGAAGCCCCTGCCAAGAGTTCTGCCAACTCCCTACAGGTCTGACATCCCCAAAATGAAAATCTATCTGTATGTCCGTGTTTGTGTGGAAAGGGGAGTCGAGGGAATGGGGAGGGCTTGCCTGGAGACCCTTTGTAAGTTGGGAACACTTTGGGAGCAGGAATGCACTTTCCTTTGCCAGTCTGCTATTTTTCACTAGCATGTCACTGGGAAATAAGATGACCTCCAGTGGGGGAAGCTACATCCAGACCCTCTTTGAGAGGAAATACGGGCTCAGGGATAGTTGACTTGGGTGACCTGTGGGAATGCTGGACTAGTTGGTTGGGGGTAGGGTTCATGGGCCCTTGGAACGTGGTCCATCAGTGAGATTGTCTGCCGGCCACCTTGGCCCCTTCTGGCAGACAGCCCAAAGTCTCTGAATAGTTCCTTCCACTTAGTTGTATCATTTGTGAGTTTGTCTCAGGTTTACAGAGCTTTTGGTGTCTGTGAGTTGCAGAGGTTATGTGTATATCCAAGTCTGGGCGTATGGGATTGCTACTGTTGTGCACAGTTTTGCATGCTAGCACCCTCTGCAGCCTGTGCTGTGGAGGGAGGCTCCTGAGGTCTGATCCAAACCCTGCCCTGGCTCCCTCTTCTTCTGTGATCAAGGAGGCCCCTTGCCTTCTTTACCAGGGCACTTGAACCAGCTGAAGCGTAAGCTTGCCCATCTGAGCTGAGTCTGTTGGTGGTGGGGGAGGGAGGACACGGGTCTCCTGGTCTCTCTTCCTGGCATTGTGGTAGTATCCTTCTAGGCTGGTGGGCAGGTATAGTCAGACTCCAAAGGGGAGTGGAAGGCTTGGAGCAGGATAAGGAAGAAGATACCCTTGGGGCAGATGATCAATCACAGGTAGGCATGAGCCCTTCAATGGGACCAAGGAACTGGTTCAAATAGGAAGCCTTTGAATGTCCCCTCTCCGGAACACAGCTCCAGCCTGGAAGAGAGCGTGGTATCAGAGTGAATGGTATCACACGGCCTGTAGACTACACACAGCACCACATGGGGTAAGACCCTGGGCAGGTGCTGTGGACCTAGGGTGAGGTTTTCCCTCGCATCAGGGAGGCCATGCAGTCCTACTGATGCTCAGGTAGCTCTCTGGGTCTTCCTAACCAATCCCAACACGGATGGCAATAATGGCGACGCATAAGAGGTTGACACACACCAGACTGGGCGGGGACATCTGATAGCATCCAGAAAAGACCGGCAGGAGCAGGGGGAGTGGACCTGCAAGGATTTCTATCTTCCTCCCAAGTTATCAGAGCCTTCAGGGGCGTCTAGCCCTCACCAGACACATCTTGGTGTGTGTGGTGCAGAGAGAGGGAGGGAAGAGTGGACGGACATGAGGCAAGCTTCCCAGCTTGAGCTAATAGGCCAGCTAGCCTGTGCCTCTGTAGGCCTGAGTGTAGGGAGTGGCGGGAGATTTTGGAGAAGCTCTCCTAGTCCCCTTTCCTCAAGCCACTCTGCAGAAAGTAGAGGTGGAGGTACAAGGTGCCAAGAGGGACTCTGAAGGATCTGCTTTGCTGATGCCTAGTAGAGACTGACCCCCACTTCCTCCAATCCCTCTCCAATTAAGGGTTAAGGACCTGCTGCCCACAGGCTGAACCCTACTCCCTGCAGCCTCTCCACCCACCAGCATCCAACGGCCCTTTACTGGTTTGGTGATGTGTCTGCTGCCCTTCCAGAAGCTTTCTCCTCCTCTCAACTCCCAGGCCTGTCTTCCCACAAATGGGTACAGCTTTGATTTAAAAAAAAAAAAAAATTTTTTTGTTTTGAACATTTGAAAACACAATTGGTCACGTGCCATCCCATGACCCTCTCTTTTGTTGTCTCAATTAGCTAAGGATTTTAAGATGTTTATTAACCTTTTGGGGTACCCAAATCTGATCGCATTTTAAGCACCTAAGTGGGTGACCAGAGCACTTCTAAAGGATGGGGTCTTAGTCATCTCCTTCACCCCACCTCCATCTGTGGGCTGTGTGTGCTCACCAAATATCTTGATCTGAAGATGATGACATCCTTGATGTGTGAGATTTGCTGATGGCCTGTCAGCAGATTCACAGCGAAGGAGTCAAGGCAGCTTTGTGTAGCTTCCCTTCATCCCACACCCGCCACTTCCTCGTGCCAGAACTTCAGAGACCATCATTGTGCCATGGTCATGCCCAATCACCTGAGATTCTCAAGGATCCCCAACTCCCTTTATATCTTGGAAGAAATGTGGGGGAGCTTCTATCCTACCAGAGGCAGGAAAGGACATGTCAGACCAGAGCAGATCTCCTGGGGACCTGGACTAACTCACCAAACTGTTCTGTGCCTCAGTTGCTCATCTTACTTTTTCTCTCCTCCTCTCTCCCTACTACCTCTCTTGAATGCTAGCATGAGAGAGAACCTTGGATGTTGGGAACAGACCTAGATCCCTTGATTTCTGTTTGTTTTAAGAAGTGTGTGGGAGAGAATCACGTAGACACTATGTTGAATATATATCACTGTGCTGTTACTGCAATGAAGCAACCCAGTCAGGATAGCTTTGTAAGGAAAGCAGGTTTATTTAGCTCACACCCTGAAGAGTCAAGGACAAGGTCCTGGCAAGTGGCTCAGTTCTGGTGAGGCTGACCTAACAGATGACATCACAGTAGTGGGAGTGATTATGAGAACGTGAGGTCACATTACCACAGGAAGTTAGATGGTAGCTTTGTAACCCTTTCCCAGCCAAGCTACAATGCATCAAAAACATCTTAATAGGTTTCCTGTCTTTTTATTGTGTGAAGGGTTGAGTGGGAGTTGGGGGGATAGGGTGGTGGACGAGGGTCTTCTATAGGCCTCAGTGGGTTTGAACTCCCTGTGTAGCTGAGGATGACCTCCACCTCCTGAGTGCTAAGGATTGGACCCAGGACCTCAAGCATGCTAGATTAAGCACTCTGTCATCTGAGCTAAGTCCTCTGGTCCTACCTCTTAAAAGACCCACTACTACACGTGGGCCAGACCACATTCTGACCAGAGACTAGAAGGTTAACCTGTGTGGCGCACAAGAGAAAAATGGCATCAGTAGGGCCAAAGATAGATACAAGAGGATTCACCAGTAGAGAGAAAAGAAACTAAAGTGTGCTGACTGCCCTGCCGTGATTACCAGCTTTTGAGTAAAGCATTGCCACTATTTATCATCCCTAAATAGTTATAAATCATTTTATAATGTAATACAATGACTTCCTGTGCTTCCACACAGCATCCCTAA